AATCCTTGCGCCCAGACAGCAATCGGCCTCGGGCAGGTGGAGAAATGTGGCGCTGAGTAAACAAAACACAAACAAAGACATGGTATGAGTGGAGAGCGACGCCGAAATGCGTTATGCAACTAGTTGTAAACAACCGTCAATAAACACCACTATACAGGCCGACGCCTGATCTTGTCCGCACCGTTGTGCCACCCTTTTTAGCCCTTTCCGCCCATGCATGATAGCCACGCTTTTCAAGTCCGATCTTCCGTTACTCAAATAGAACTTTCATCGACGAGTCAGGTCACCTCGTGGAATTCTGCTTCAGATGTTGCGTCGGCTGATGGTGGCCGTCGGATCCTTCCGCCTGTCTCGTTTCCTTTCGCTACCCCGCGCTCGAGCTATGCAAGGGCTCTGTCGAGGTACCTTCATGCTGGACAAGGGCCTGGAGCGACCTCGATCTTTCTTGGAAAATCCTTAAATGCCGCGATGTACCAAAAGATCAACTAGGAATTGAAGTTTACCCCGCCACCGCCACCAAAGCTCAATCTTTTTCGAACGCTGCTAATGAAATACTTCAGATAAAATCAGATGAAAGGTGAGAGAGGAGTAGTTTAGTGCTGGGAAAATCACGACTATCAGAGAGTATTAGACTGCGCAAATCAATAAATAACAAGTTGATTCCATGGTATAGTAGTATTGATACAGTATTAGGGTCGCTTTTTTCGCTCCAACTTCGAGCGCATGTGAAAGTGAGCCGAGAAGCACAGGATCGAAACATTTCGGAAAATAAACGGGTGCCCTTTGCGTGAAGGGCACATGGGCCCAGACATGCGGGAACAGATCTAGAGGGTGCGATATCTTGCATCCCAAGATACCGCGGGGTAATCAGCGGTAATGGCAGGTGAGCTGCTGGTTAGAGCTTCGCGGCAGCTACCAGCCGCGATGTCTCGCCAGTGCCTGTGCTGCAGCTGCTTCTCTGGCGTCAGCGGCTCGACCGCGCGTGGCTTGACCCCATAATTCATTATAGACTATCGCATGGTGTCATCAGGTGCACAGCATGTAATAGAAATTTTACATACTGTATACACTAGCCTGCCATGCTCTATTGACTCTCACTACGATTATATTGAGAGCACGGGAGTGGCGGTATATGGTCTGCAGGTAGTTGTGCAGGCGCTGACGATCTGAAGATTGATCAGAATCAGAGTCGAACACCGGGGGGAAATAGGGTGGAACACCCACAGCTGAAAGGCATGTCGCTGTAGCTAGATACAGGCGTTGAACAGTTGGGTTGATACGCGCGTGCTACTTGCAAGTTGAAGTCCATGGGGTCTCGCTAGTTGACCGAGTATATATATGACCGAGGCTACTATGCTATCGGAGCCGACCATCGTTTCAAAAGCCACTCCCTGGCGTCCGAGTCAGAAGGTCTGAATCTTGCACAAGGACGTACAGCAGCACCAACTGTGGAGATGTACTAGATATCTCGTCTGAGGCGAACCTACGGAGAGAGAAGACAGCCGATCCCGTTTGTGGCGGGGCCGGCGGCAAAGAACAAGACCTCGGTGCGGCGCAGCCCTCGATGGAGATTAGCGCGAGAGATCTATGCATGAAGGCTGGCCCGGATCAGGGGCCGTTCAGACGGATGCCGGCGACTATCCGCGATGCAAGTGCCGATGCCGCATTGAATTGACAAAGTACAAGGCACCGGTGATATCCTCTTGATTGATACGGTTCATTTGGTTCTGTGAGGTACTACAGCTCATTGCAGCCCGGTCTTTGGGCTGATCCGGGGTGTGAATTTAATAGACGTGCTGTGATTAAGTCTCTGACCGTCTCTGTAGTCTGGGAACTGACGAGTTCGGAATTGCTCAATGTGGATTTTTGGCGCTTGCAGTGTCATGCGGCTGTGCATTGGCACTGACACAGTGGCACTGCTCAAACACCACAGGGCCTTGGCTCGAAGACGACGATCTTATCTTGAGGCGATAGTCGTTTACCCCATCTCGAATTTCTCATGCTTGGTCCAATACTCATCAAGAACTGCCACTTGCAGTGCCAGTCAAATCTGGCTGTCCGAGTTGTAAACAATTTGCAATGTGTAGTGGTACTGATTATCACGGATCAGAAACGTACTTCCTCGAGATGGCGAGCTTCACGTTGACTTGGGACGTACTTTGTTGTCTTGATCAAGCGTGTGGACGTTTCCGGACGATATGGCATCAAGCTCGATAGATCCTGATAGAAGCCTTCGAATTATGAAACGTACGGGATGCGGTGTCGGCGTGGATCGTTACGCAATAGTACTATCCCCTCCACCCATTCAAACCCCAATGATTCGTATAGAGGTCGGGCGTTCGGGGCTGCCTCAAGATACATCGGTGTCGGTGGCACAGATGCATCCGCAATGTCGATAACGCATTTGACCAGCTTGGTGCCAATGCCCAGTCCCTGGTAATCCGGAAGGGCCCATAGCGGGGCCAAGTACCTTTCACCATCGAGGTTAGCATATAGGATACACAAAAGGTTAGGCTGTAGCTACCAGTGAGGCTGGGAGCCCATGATGCGCTTCCTGGCTTCGGACTCACCGCCGTGCCACGCCTTCCAAGCATGCAAATCAAGGCCTTCCCACGCATCGCGGTCCTGCATGGTAACTTCGGTCGACGCGTCTCGCTGACCTGCGTGCCTTATTGGCGCGCCTGGCACGTGCCACATCGCTACGCCAACAAGAGTGCC